GGAGACACTGTGGGGTGGAGGCTCAGCTTGTAGCTGGATTCACTGACATGCCCCTGTGGGAAATGGGGGCTCTGCCTGCTTCTGCTGGGAGGGGGAGGGCAGGCCCTGCTCAGCAAGGGGGTCCCTGAAGGGGGCTGAGCTTGGGAGTCTGCGAATCTTCCCATGGAGGAAGGGGTGGCATTATCAGAACATTTTCTTTTGTTAGGGCACTTAATTTTCAGGTTCTTTGGACATGGAATCAGGATCTTCTTGAAACACTTGGCGATTCTGGAATGAAACCCTCTGCAGGACTCTGTTCTGTATGCACAGGGAGGTGACAGGAAAGAAAGAGACTTGAAGACCTCACTGGCGTGCAGTTTCGCCCACTCGGTGTGGAGAAAGTCTGCCTTCTTCTTTTCACTTTCTGAGGTCCTCATATGTATTAGGCACTGGGAGAAGTGACCCTGCGCTAGACGTGGTCCCAGGCCATGCAGTAGTGAGGGCTCCATGGAGGGAGAGCTCAGGGGAAGTTTCAGTCTCACTCCCCGTGGTCTGGAGCCCTGTGTGAGTACTAGAGCTGCCGTGATAAGTCGCACAGTGATAGTCGGTGTCGTCCTCAGGCTGCAGCCCGGAGATGTGCAGAACTCCAGCATTGGCTGAGGTGTCCTTGGATCCAGAGAAGCGGCTGGGGACCCCGGAGCCCTGGTGTTGGTCTGAGTCTGTGTGGTAGCTCAGGAGATAGCGGGGAGGGCTCTCTGGATTCTCCTGGTACGAATCTATCCTGTAACTACAAACACTAAAACCACTGCTCAGGGTGCAGGTGAGTCTGGCAGATGCTCCAGGAGATGCAGAAAGGGAGGGCAGCTGAGTCAGCACCGGCTGGGAGAGGGAACCTGCAGACACACACACATGTCAATGACAAGACTGTCACAACAGTGACTATGTGCATGGGCCTTAACCACAAGACTCTGGAACAGGTTAGGGTTGCCCTGTGTCTGCAAGGCCTGTCCCTAACTGTGCAGTGAGAGAGGAGTACGAGGACGAGAGGAGTCCACGCCATGGTGGACACATCCCCTGGTCCCCACATAGCTGGACTGCCCCA